CTATTTATACACAGACCCAGCCCAGAATGAAACTGCTTTCCACATAGCAAAAATTGTTTTCTCAGCAGTCTGTTTCTCTGAACATTACAGACAAATACTAACAAATTAAAGGAAATGATTTTTTATCCCCTGGATATATCATTTTCTCAGAAGAATGGGTTTCCTGGAAAGTCATTGTTCCTCTACAAGTATGCTGCCATTACTATAACCCAGGCCAATATCAATGCTTTTTCTTCATTGTTTTAGTTAACCTTATCTGACTAGGTGTAATGGTTACATCCTTACCCCATTAGACACTTAGCTGAGCCCTAGAAGTCAACTCTGGGTTGTCTTTTGGGGCAGCTGGCTGCCAGCTTCCCCTGGAATCCTGAGTGTATGCATCCTTACTATGCTGGCCCAGGTACTTTCTATGCAGGATCTCACAGCCCTCACAGCAGGCCTGTTGTAAGACAGGCAAAGCTATTAAGCTCATTCTGCAGGTAATAGCACATGCTTAGAGAGTTTACTGGTAAGCTAACCTCTATGAGGTTCCCTATAGTGTTACCAAGAGACAAAGTCTGGATTGCCAGCGGGGCTGAATCCAGGGCCGGTGCTCCTAACTACTACATTATACTCACCCAAAACAAGCTCATAGATTTCTCTTGGCAGGGCCAGGAGTACAGTGAGCCAGACAAGGCACCCAGGGGGCAAAAGTTAAGGAGGTCCTGACTCTCAGGCCCTGACCCTGCACTTGTTCGGCTCTGAGAGTAAGAGTGAGTGCCCCCTTAAAATTTGCATCTGAGGCAGTTGGTGTCCTTCATTCTCCTCCCAGCCCTGGTTCTTGGGGAGGGCTGCCCAGAGGCCTCCCCTCACAACTGAACTGGCCTCCCTCACAACTCACTGTGCAAATATTGTGTGATACATGGAAATATAGGGGTTTCAGTTTTCTTCCTTTGTTTAATAAACAAGCTATTCAGCTTTGAACCTGCTCTGTTCCAAGCACTCTGCTAAGCTTGGAACTGGAGAAAGAGCAGAGGCTGAGATGCGTACAGTTCCTGCCTTCCTGTGGCTTGCAGCCCCAAGCTTTCATTTCCAATGAACTCCATATGGCAGGCCAATATTGGGACTTTCTTAAGAATCACCTCAAAGAAGCACTGATACATTTCTTAAGGATTTCAAAGTACACAGATAGATTAAACTCTCCTATCCTGTCAACCCATTGTTTTTACATTTTATTAACCTTTTGCATTGAGCTCCATTGTCGTTTGCTTCCTGCACTAGTAGAATGAACCCTTTTGGATATTAACTCAGTTGTACTTCCCCTGGGCTTGCTTTCTTTTCAGAAGTTAGCTCTTGACAGAACTAGGTTTCAGAGGCATGGACTCAAATTATGGCTTTGTCACTGATTAGTTGTGTTCTTAGAGGAGTCACTTTGTCTACCTGAGCCTCAGGTGTCTCATCTGTGAAATGGGGGTATTCATACCTCATTTGCAGAATTGTGGAGATGAAATGGAAAAATATAAGTGCCTCTCAACAGATACTTGTTATCTTCCCTTTTTCTTTATTGGTCCACCTTTGCACCAAGATCATCCTTCCCAGTGTTCTAACTAAGGTGATATAGACAGCCAAACAATCTTAGGTCAGAGTTAGATATGACCCAGGCAGCAGATTCTAAAGCTGGTCCTCGACTACGGCTAACTGTGGCTGTGGCTGGCCTTCCCTAGTACCCACTGTCTAGTGATTGTTGAAAAGCAAAATCTAACTGCCAAGGTGATTTTGTTAGAAAAAGATCTGAAAGCATTTCCTATGTCAAATACACATTATTGCTTTTATTTTTCTCTTGAATGATCTGAATAATTGGAGTTGGTTAATGAAATTAAGTTTGTAAACATTTATTACATTTTGGCTTATCAAACTACTTGAAGATGTATAACCAAATGTTAATTTGTAATACATGAAATGTTCTTCACGGGTGGACAGCAGGAAGCAGATAGAAATCATGCTGCAATGCCTAAAATATCATTCTTAACGTGGGATACAGGTTATACAAAACTTTTTTAAATGTGTTTCATTCCCTTTTGGAAACCCTGTCACCAAATAAAGAGAGTGACATTACTATAGAACTACATGCATAAGGCAATACCTCGCTTCAGGTGGAAAGCATGCTACCTCAGACACACGCAAACCACTGTTTATAGATCATTGTGGGGTTTTTTAATTTTAAGATATGTTTTATCTTAAAACAGTAAATTTACTACATGTCAGGCATAGTAACACATTTGGTCATCTCAATAATAGTGTAAAATGGGTACTATTTTCCCTGTTTTATAGATGAAGAATTGCCATGTATTTATTTTTTTTAACTTTTGTATTAATTTAGAGGGGGTTGGGTTTTCTTTTCTTTAATGAGCTTGCACACATATACACTGCATGAGTTTTGATTCTTTATAAGCCAGTTCTTGGGGAATCTAATAGAATACAGAAATTGTTTCACTAAAAAGCCCAGTGATTTGGTTGTTACACATTTGGTTGTTTCAACTTTGATTTCAAAGTTGATAGTGGCATTTGAGGGACGCTGCCATGAAAACAGCTAAGACTCAGGAGTTAAGAGATGGTTTCTTAGGCCATGGCACAAGCTACTGCTCACAAACAATGACTCTGCATGAGTGCAGAATGATAAAATGTAGTCTTGTAAAGTTCAAAGGGTCTTTCACCTCATTTTCTGATCATGATTTCTAATTCCAAATTGGGCAAAATGAACCATATGTTCTACTAAGGTGCCATAATTTTAAGTGACAGCCACATATATCAAGTTAATTCCTGCACTACTAAAAATGTCTGAATTATCATTAGCTCTAAAAGCTCCTAACCTTAAGTTTCAGAAAGCATTTTAAGTTAAAACTTCTCTGTAAAGGACCATCATTTTTGTATTAGGATCACAGCTGCATGTGCAATTTCTGATTAGGTCTCAATTTTTCCTTTTTTGCTAGTGGAGTTAGAGGACAGAAGGAGCAGGTCACTGTGTCTTTTCATCAACATTGTAGTGTTCTTGTTTGCACAGCGACATGTGCTCAAATACACTTACACTCTTTTAAAAGTACCATCTACAGCTTATAGACAGAAAAAGCATTGAATGTGGCATTTTAAGATTCATATAACAGTATCTGCAAGAATATCAGGAATTTGCATCAAGTCTCTGCAGTTGTAACCATAAATGGCAGAATGAATGTGTTTCTTTTCCCCCAGAGAGAAAGGATCCTTCACAATCTTAAGACTGAGGTTAAGTCTTGAGTTCCTGAAGGTTGTATCTAGTACAGCAACTGGTTTCTTCCCACAATCTTACAATCAAAGTTTCCCTTTATCTGCTGTCTATTTATCTGCACCTCTCTCAACCACTTCCAATTGGAATGACCTTCTGCAATTGGTAATTGCTGTTATTATGGCATATCACAACTATGGGGAAGAACTGGTAAAAATTCCCCAAGTCTCTGTTCATCAGTGAAAATCAATCATGAGCTAAAGCATGAAGAAATCTCAGACAGTGCTGATAAATGACAAGGGCATGGAATACGGATCCAGGAACACAAAGTGAGAAGTCAGAGATCATCTTCCCCACAGTGTCAATATGCCAGGAACTTGGGAGGAAACTGGCCTGACCACAGTCCAGCAGGGGTGCTGTGCCCTCCTGGAAAGTGCAATATGTCACTTGCTCAACCACGGTATACCTCACTTCAGGCAGAACGCATGTTATCTCAAACACATGCAAACCACTGTTTACAGATCATTGTGGGGTTTTTTAATTTTAAGATATGTATTAACTTAAAACAGTACATTTACTACATGTCAGGCACTAGTCCACATGTTTTTAGGTATAGTAACACATTTGGTCATCTCAATAATAGTGTAAAATGGGTACTATTATCCCTGTTGTGTAGATGAAGAATCTGAGGCAAAAAGAACATAGTAACTTTCTCAAATTCAAGTGGTTAATAAGTGGGGGATCAGCACACATTTTCCATAAAGGGCCAGGTAGGTATTATTTTAGCCTGTGAGACAGACATGAGGTCTCTGTAGCAATTACTCAATCCAGCCTTCATGAAACAGCAGACATAGATGATGCATAATGAATGAGCATGATTGTGTTCCAATGAAATATTATTTATGAACAATGAAATTTGGGCAATAGTTTGCATGTGCCATGAAATATTTGCCCTTTTGATTTTTTTTAAACCATTTAAAAATCTAAAAACCATTCTCAGCGCTGGGACATATAAAAACAGGCAACTGGCTGGGTTTAGCTCTTGAGCTGTAGTTTGCTGTAGTAAGTGGTAGAGCCAGGACTTGAACCCAGATAGTATGGTTCCAGTGAGTTCCTTATCATGGAATATATATATATGTGCAGTCTATATAATGATAACTATAGTAAATTATGCCCTCTTTAGAAAACTCAGCAAAGTGTGAAAGAGAAAATAACAATCACCCATAAAACCACAACCCAGAAATGACCACTAGTAACATGTGAGATTTTTTTCAACTCTTTTGTGCACTGAATGCATTATTCAATTTATTAATTCAACTTTTTATCTTAGGTGTTTTCCACATTTTGAAAGAATCCCACAACTAATATCTTCATAAAGCAAAGAATCCTATTAAGAGAGCAGCTGTTTTTACCTTTCATTTATCAAATGCCATATATTTGCATTTCTGGGAGTTGGATATTTAAAAGCAACCCAGTGTGTAGACAAGGATGTAGCAAAAAGGCTTTGGAACCATCCACCAGACCTGAATTTTACTTCTCCCTGTAACTTTATTAGCCAAATGACTGTGAGAAAGTTGTTAAGTTCCCTTGTTCTGAAGATAAACCAGAACCAACATTTAGAAAGCGTGGAGCATGTGCCCAGGACAGAACAGTGGTCACTTGGCAGCAATCAGCTTCACATTGCCTGCCATCCACAGGAAATAGATTGCTTCACTCAGGACGGAAGAGAAAGTGTCCTTTTCTGTTTCTGTAAACTATAGTTTTCTCTCTAGAGTGAAATAAGCAGGAAATCATCTGGATAAAGGGAAAGATTAATGAGGTGGGTGGACCTGAAATGGAAGCCTCCACCCCGACCGCCTACCACTCCTCCCCGCCCCAACCAGGAGGTGATTACTGGCTTCTAAACTGAAGTGGTGCCCAGGTTCCTACAACAGCAGGTGGCATTCAGACATCAGCAGAGGCTGTGCTCTTTTGCACAGGGACGGAGGATCTCCAGACATCTGAAAAGAATTGGGAGTCCAGCCACTTTCAGGAGTGGCAAAAAGTTCATGGAGCTGAAGAGTATGACAGCCCCCAGAGCGGAGGGCTACAGTAACACTAGCTTCCAGGTGAGCAGAAGTTTTACCTTATGTTTAAGACCAACTAAATGGAAATAATGCTCTTTCCTTGCTTCCTTGGCAAGATTCTTAATTAAAGCAGTGGAGTTATTGGAACACAGTAAGATTTTTAATGGCATTCTTTAATCCTATTATTTTTCCTTCTTGAGTTTTTCTTGGGTTGACAAACCTGAAAAGTCTCTTTTAAGCAAACCTGTTTTGATCTCTGACTTGCCCTGTTACTTAAAAACAAGGCTGTCTTCTTCTACTTTAGTTTTGGGCTCAGGATACAGGATTTTCCTACAGACATTTTCCCAAAGTGCTGGTGAGAGAGCAAGAATGGGAAGAATCCAGATCCCGGATGTCATCAGCATCTCAGGGTTTCTTTCTCTTAAGCCAGGTCTCAGAGCCCATCAGATGGTGGCCTGGGTGCCTGCTTTGGAGCAGGTGGATTATGTGAACCAGTCTCATGTCATCGACCAAAACTCAATGAGTAACTAATGTTGCTTGACTCAGGGCTATAGGCTGCAGAGACCCGGAAAGAGTCCTGTCCCTGGGAAACACCAGGCTGTTGTGACTGGGTCTTGGATGGAGATTTGGAGGGGCTCTTCTCAGGTGTGCTTCCTTTTCTGAGCTGACACTCAACATGGGAGCATGCAGGAGCAGGTGTCAGCAATCCCTTGGGCTTCAGAGTCACCAAACAGGCAAAACAAACTGTTAGGCACCAGCAAAGAAAGGAACAAGGAAGATTAAAGGGGCTCTGACACAAGCCCAGAGTCTTCCACTGACAAGTCACTGTAAATTCTCTGAGCTTCATTTCTGCTGTCTATTTGGTCACAGTGATGATCCTCTTCATGTTATGAGTGCAGAGGAGGAAAAATCCTTTCCTCTACCCTCTTATATTTAGTACCTGGGGTCTGTGAATTAAACTGAGAAACGACAGATTAACTGGAGAAAAGGAATACAAACTTTATTAATATTTTTAACTTAATGTGCATGGAGCTTCACAAAAAGAAGTGAAAAGGGCTTATATACTCTTTTAACAAAGGATGATAAATTGTGGAGAAGTACCTACACAAAGGGAAAAGGACTTGGGCTTTTAGGGTCAATAAACTGTGGGAAGGTGACTAGGAAATATATGAAGGGAACTAATGGAATATAGAGTTTCATAGTGAGATTCCTTATGCAGTCTTACTGCAGTGCCAGCTCTGTCTCCAGTGATACAAGTCATTCTCCTCTTTCTGTTATGGAAAAGGGCAACACCTTCACAGTGGAAAGGTACGTCCTGCCTCTGGCACATAGAGGAAGAATAGAGCACTCTTTCTGTGTCTGCTTTTTTTCAGTTGCCTTCAGTTCAAAATAATTAGCATGCTAAAGTGGCATATTTTGAGGTGGCATATCCCGATCCCCTCCATAAAGGTTAAATGAGGAAAAAAACATAAAGCAGAGGATGTTTTATGATTCAAGAGAATGGAAGGGATGGAATGAGATAGTGTAAGTGAATATGGTAGCAAGACAAATGTGTCTGCAATGGAGAAGGGTCCACGTCACCAGCAACTGGCTGACTATAGTCAGTGAAGAGAACACATAACTGCTAATGGTGGCCGTCTTTTCTAACCCTCACTCTCTTCTATCAAAACAAAGCATCCTCAGGCCTCAGGATGCAGAGCAGAGCATCTCAAACCCAGCCTGGGACCACACATCAACACCAACAAGCAGCAATCAGGTTATTTCCTCCAACACTTGCTCTTCAGCAGGAATTTCCTGAGACACATATTACTCAGCAAAATCATGAACTGCTCCCCTGGATAGAGCCACCACTAGAAAGGATACCAATTCAGAGGAATAAAACACTACAGGGATACCTTGGAGATACTGCAGGTTCAGTTCCAGACCACTGCAGTAAAGCAATTCAAATGAATATTTTGGTGTCCCCGTGCATATAAAAAGTATGTTTATACTATATTGCAGTCTAAGTGTGCAATAGCATTGTGTCTAAATAAATTGTACATTTCATTATTTTATTGCTAAAAAAAAAAAGCTGACCATCATGTGACACTTCAGGCAGCTGTAATCTTTTTGCTGGTGGAGGGTCTTGCCTTCATACTGATGGCTGCTGACTGATCAGGGTGGTGGTTCCTGAAGGATGGGGTGACTGTAGCAATTTCTTAAAATAACACAGGAATGAAGTTTGACCCATCAACTGACTCTTCTTTCATGAACAATTTCTCTGTAGCACATGATGCTGTTTAATTGCATTTTACCCACAGTAAAAGTACTTTCAAAATTGTAGTCGGTCCTCTCAAACCCTGTGGCTGCTTTATCAACCTAGTTTATGTAGTGATATAAATACTTTGTTGTTATTTCAATAATCTTCATAGTATCTTTATCAGGAGTAGTTTCCATCTCAAGAAACCATTTTCTCTGCTAATCCATAAGCAACTCCTTCATTAAAATTTTACCATGAGATTGGAGCAATTCAGGTACAGCTTCAGGCTCTACTGATTCTAGTTCTCTTGCTGTTTCCACCACATCTGCAGTTACTTCCTCCACTGAAGTCTTGAACCCCTCAAAGTTATCCATGAGGTTTGGAATCAACTTCTTCCTGTGAATGTTGAGGTTTTGATGTTTTGCCATGAATCAAGAATGTTTTTAATAGTGTCCAGAATGGTGAATCCTTCCCAGAAAGTTTTTTATTTACTTTGCCCAGACCCATCAATGAAATCACTATGGCAGTTCTTAGAAATGTATTTCTTAAATAATAACTAGACAGTTAAAACTACTTCTTTGTCCCTGAGTTGCAGAGTAGATCTTGTGTTAGCAGACATGAAAACATTAATCTCAGTGTCCATCTCCATCAGAGCTCTTGGGTGACCAAGTACGTTATCAATAAGCAGTAATATTTTGAAAGGAAAGTTTTTCTGAGAACTAGAATTAGCAGTAGAGCCTGAAGCTGTACCTGAATTGCTCCAATCTCAACAAGGGTCTTAAAATATTCAGTAAAGCATGTTGTAAACAGATGTGTTATCATCCAGGCTTTGTTAATCCATTTCTAGAACACAGAGTAGATTTAGCATAATTCTTAACAGAATGGCCAATAAGCATTGGCTTCAACTTAAAGTCACCAGCTGCATTAGCCCATAACAAGCCCTGAATTTCTATCCTGTATTTATGATAATTACTTCTCCACTTTGTTTTATATCTTACTGTCTAATTCTCAAGCACCACCTTTGCCTATTTTTGAACTTTATATAAATAGAAAATTACAAGAAAACTTCTTTGCTTATTTTAAAACATTGATATGGAAATAGTTAAGATGACTCATTTTGTATCTGGCTTCTTTTGCTCAACTTTATTTGTCAAGGTGTTGCATGTAGTTGGAGTTCATCCAGTTTCTTTGATATATAGTATTTTCCATAAATATTACACAATTTGCCTATTTTACTATTACAAAACATTTGTGTTGTTAAGCTTGGGGTTGCTGGGAGCTTTTGTAAACACATAGCTATTAATACTCTTGGAAATGTTGCCTGGTGCATATGTAACAAACTTATTCTGGGGTTATATTTAGGAGATATTAAAATTGCTAGGTCATTGGGAATGCATATATATTTCCAACTCTAGTAATAACATCAGGCTTGTTTCCTGAGTGGTTTTACCAATTTACACTCCCATCCAGAAAGTGTGAGTTCCTATAACTCCATAGACTTACCAGTATTTATCTAGCTTTTAACTCCAGTGATTCTGGTAGGTATATGATAGTACATCATTGAGGTCTCACTTTAATTTTCCTGTGTTATTGGCCATTAGATGCCTACTCTATAAAATGCTTGTTCAAGTTTCTTGCTCATTTTCTCTATTGGAATTTGTCTTTTTCCTATTATTTTGAAAGAGTTCTTTAAATGTCCCGAATACAAAGCCCTTTCTCAGTTATATGGTCTTCTACCACTGCTGCTTTCACTCTTTAATAAGCAAAAGTTAAATATTTGGCCCCATTTATCAGTTGTTTCTCCTTGATATGTCCTATTTAAGAAAACTTTTCATACCCTGCAGGATCATGAAGATATCCTCCCGTATTTTCTCAAAGCTTATTCTTGCCTTCTACATTAAGTCCTGTAGCCTGCCTGAAATTGAACTTACGTATAGTGTTAAGGTGGAGGGTCAAGTTCGCATTTCTACATGGAGATCCAGTTTTTTCAAATCACTCTTTCAAGAAACCATCTTTTCCCCACATTTTTCAAGTGTCCATATTTGGGTAAGTCTTTTTAGAATAGAGAAAATGAAAGATTTCTCCAAACTCAAAGGAGGGGGAAGGATCTAGAGAAGAGGAAAAGATGAAAGTTGACAGCAAAAGAAGTCAGATAAAGTTCAGAATTTCTAAGGTGAAAATGCAGACAACTTTCGAAAGAACAATTCTTCTTACATGTGTCCCTCAGAACCCCAGCTCAAGTCTCCTCCTCTCCAGGAGTAAGCATGGATCTTGCCAACGTGGATCTGAGAGGCACAGGGCCTGTGCTTGCTCTGAAGTCAGTTGGGTGGGACCCAATTATGAAAGTCTTGACAGGATTAGATGGGGATTCTGCCTCCATTCTGTACACATACAATAAGGCTGATCTATTCTATGAATCACCAGGTGAGCCAGTCAGGTTTGGATAGTTTGTTAAATAGAGGTCAAAATTTGGGAGGTCATATAAGTACTGGAACTTTGGCACAGACTTCTAACACAGGTACTTTGAATATAAAGTTCTGAGGTTGGCAGTAATTATCAGAGTCGAGAAGAGTACTATTTCCCCTAACACACTAGTCAGGGAGGTCAACATGAATCACACGGGGTTGCTGAGTAGGTGTTTCAAGGGCTCCTCAGGACAAGCTTGACTAGAGAGAGCTATCTAGATGGGTTTTTTTCCCCTGCACAAGTAAATTAAAACACAGAAAACATAAGATAGTAATTTCCTTTGTAAGGAGAGTTTAAAAATACATACTCTCTACTCTATCATCAAACCAGATCATAC